ACATTATTAATTAATTTTAGATGCATAACTAAAATCATAAGATGAGCTGTTATGATGCTTATCTTACGATTCTACTAGATCAAAAAGAATAAACCAAAAAAATAAATAAACAAAATTCCAATGAATTATTAAGACAGTTTCGTGTTGTTTAACACAAAAAAAACAAACTTTTTTTTCTGTACAACAAACTGAGAGAAAGCACATTTTTATTGATTTTAAGATTAAACTTATATCAGATTATGTTTGTATCCGCTAGTGTGTGTGTGTGTGGGTGTGTGTGCGTTTATAAGAGTTCGTGAGTGCATATGTGTCTGGGTATATTTTGGTGTCCAATCTCAGCACTACTCGTACTATCTGTCTGAGATTTTTACTGATTTCAACCAAGATTGTGAAGATTTGTGTAGGCGAGCGTGTTTTCTTTTACCAATAAGACTCATCATCTGCTACCTGTTTGTCCATTTAAATTGTCTTCCATGAGATTTGAACTCATAGTGATAACAGGAACTCAAGTATTATTGGGGTGAACATAGATAAAACAGAAGTGATGAGGATTCCTGGCCAACACCAACAGACAACAATCAGCATAAATGGGAGGAACCTGAAAAAAAGAGCCTTCTTTACCCACCTACCTGGGAAGCATCGTTTCAACTACAGGCGAACGAAACTGACGAAGATATCAAAGCCAGAATCGGAAAAGCAAGACAAGCTTCCACTACTCTTAAGTCTGTGTGGAGGTCAACATCACTCATCATCAAAAATAAGATCCGGATTTCCAACTTTAATGCGAAGTCAGTGCTACTATACGGATCAGAGACTTGGCGCGTCATAAAGAGCACCTCAAACAAACTTCAGACCTTTGTAAACAGTTGTCTTCGCTCAATACTCAAGGTCAGACAACTGGCAAGAAAAGATCAGCAACAGGGACGGATCTCTGGCAATGAGCGAACCAACACAGCAGGAACCGATTGTGAAACAAATAAGCAGGAAGAAATGGAGATGGATTGGACTAGCCATACTCTGAGGAAACAAGCGATCAAGTGACATCACTAGACAGGCCCTCGAGTGGAACCCGAATGGGAAGCGGCGAGTTGGTCTTCAGTGTGAGGGTGACTTGGAGGAGGTCATGTGAAGAGGAGATGAAAGCGTGTGAGCAGACTTGGAGCGGGGTGAAAAAGTTGGCAGGAAACCGAAGGCAATAGAGACGCGCAGTTGAAGCCCTATGTTGTTCTAGGAATTAAGGGATATAATAAATGATAATAATAAAGTATTACTGATCTGAATGTAATCAATGAAGTAATTTTCAACAGTTGGTTTGTAGGGATTAAATTTGTTTTTAAGAGTTGATCACGGATTGATATCAGTTAGAGAACCATTGAAAACCAGCCACAGGGTGTACTGCCAGACAGTCATTCCGGTTGTCCTAGTGCTTTGAAATCATCGCCAGTACGCACCCACAGCAAGGGTTTGAATCAAGGACCCTCCGGTTACAAGGCGAGCTAGCTCGTATACCATTCAGCCACCGGGACCCGACTCCTCAATATCCATCCCATGAATTCTAACTTCTGCAAATTCGTGATTTTTGAGCGTGACCACCAACCCAAAAAATGAAGTAATTGACGCATTCTTCTGTATAGATTGTTAAACTTTGATCGAAGGTTTAAATACTACTTCAACTTTGTTGTCAGGCAGCTAAGCAGCCAGGAAGCCTCTCAAGTCAAAAATGTGCACAGTATACCACAATTTTAAGGTACACGTAAGAATCAATAAAGAATATTCCCAACAGAACAGAAAGAAAATTCTGTGTGCAAGAATCAACAGAGAAGATATATGAATTGGAAGAAGTTAGAATTCATGCCCTCGTCATTGGATTGGGTCCCAGAGGCTGTATGGACGGTGAGCGCGCTCACCCTGTAACCGGAATATCCTGGTTCGAAGTTCGCTGGCGGTGGGTGCGTACTGATGAAAAGTCTCGAATTAGGATGAAAAAGCTGTCCAGTACTCGCAGGTTTTCCAGTGGTTCTCTACCTGATGTCAGCTCATGATGAAATCCTCCAACCAATCAAACAATAATCCCTACAAAACCATATATTTGAAAAGAGAAATGACTTAGACAAAACTCATTACTTAATAAACAACATCTTCGACGATATCAATATCACAAGAGAAGAGGAACCTGTGGAGGAAATTCGATTTCTGGATCTCTTAGTCAAGCAAAAAACCACAGAGGAATTAGAAACTCAAGTTTATAGAAAATCAAATCACACAGATTAAACACTCGATTACAACAGCGACAAGCCAATAACACCCAACAAGATTTGCAGGACTCATTGCAGCACTCCCACCTTAAGGAATATTGAAGAAAGATATCTTATGGACGTCTTCCAAAGGAATGGATATCCACGGAATTTCATCAAAAGACATCTACCTCTAAGCCAACCTACTAAATCAAAGGCCCCCAAGGAGAGTACAAAGAAAATCGCCCTATTATATATAAAGAGCATTTCAGAAATCACTGAAAGACTCTTCAAACCTTAAGGAATTGACGTTGTACACAAACCAACAAAATCACTCCACTCAGTTGGCTGTCTCTATGTCAACCAAAAGACTCAAAAACGAAAGAATATGAAACCAAAATCATCTACAAAATAAGTTGTAACAACTGCGGAAAACATTACATTGGTCAAAGTGGACGTCCCCTTCGTCTTCATATCCATGATTATAAACTAGCCATCAGAAAACATGACATCCACTCCCTCACTCATATCACTACATACAGACAACCATGGACATCAATTCCACTGGGACAACCAACGTTCAAATATTAGACAGTGGAAACACCAAAAATGCTAGAGAATTTTTAGAAGCCTGGCCTGTTATTCCAGTGAATCATCAATCAATAGACACATCAAGTTAGACAAAATTTACCAACCAATAAGAAGGAAACCTCACAGACAAAGGTCCAAGCGTCAGGTCAAGGATACAATCAGCCTTAATACCAATACAATACACACAAAAAACCAGTCATGTTCAAGGTCACCCACCAGGAAAGATGACTAAATTAGAGAAATCTAAATCTCACTTCAACAAATCGAAGTATGGGCGCTGAAGATGTTTCCTAGTAGATGGCAATGAAAGCTTCGCAAATTAACTATTCAGCTCAGAGAACACAACGACATCAAAATCATCCACCTGAGCTACACATCTTCAACATTATATCTATTTACGTGATTGCAATTCAAAGGTGACGTACCATGTGCAATGTTAACTGACAAGTTAAGAAAGCCGATACTAGTAATTAGCAGCTGATATTTTCCATACCACCGGCTGTGATTACTTAACTGGAAAAAACATGTGAAGCATCAACGCTAGATGCTACTTCTTGTTTACACCAGTTCAACTGCTGTCGTAGAGTCAGTTATTCTGGGAATCATCTATCAGTGAGGTGAATTAAACGTTCCGTCAAAGCCATTTAGAATTTTTTATATATTAGACTATCTTGTTCCATAAAATCATAATGACAGTATCGAAGAGTCCTTTTCTATCATCTACCGTGTACTGAATGAACTGCTAAAAGGCTTCTGCATTACCGAATACTTAAAATGATAGAAGCTATTATAATTCCTTAACAGTTACCACAAAATTGACGGACAAAATAAACAGGTTCGAACACTATTCCTACCCTGACCTACTGTGGAAACTATAAATCCAAACATTCTACATTATATCTTGAAACAGTCAGTTTCTTTTTTGAATTCAGACAAAGCAATAAGAAGACATAATTTGTCTAAATCGTGTGATGCGCATATTTGCGCACAATACATCTCGAACAATCTGACTACACATGAACTTGTCATGGCAAGGCATATGTGGAATTAATGAAGAGTTAAGAGGTGAGAAAATAGACCTAGGTCAAGTTAAAAGGACATAATTAAGGTCAAAATAACAATGAACATTTTTCATTAATTGGTTTGTAAGGATTACATTTGTTTTTACGAGTTGATCACGGATTGATATCAGTTAGAGAACCATTATAAAACCAGCCACAGGGAGCACTGCCAGACAGCTGTTTCTCTTGTCCTAGTTCGGGAATCATAGTCAGTATGCATCCGCCGGGGTTATAACTCAGGACATCCCAGTTACAAGGTGAGCGAGCTCACAGTCCATTAAGACACCAGGACCAGATCCAATGACCAATGAATGAATTATAACTCCCGGCATTTCACGATATAACGCGACTGTTGCTAGCTTATGTCATCCGTGGAGAGTATTTGTCCTCACACCCGACCTGCAGTACCCCACTGGTCAGGATTTCCTACTAGAACGTACATGACTACCTGCCTGAAAAGGTAGTGAGCATCAAACTGGTCCCAATGGGTGCGTACTAGTGAAGAGTTCAGAAGACTTAGACGAAACATCTGTCTGGCAGTACTCCTAGCTGGTTTTCTAATGATTCTCTGATCGATATCAGTTCATGATGAAATCCTGTATCCAATCAAATGAAATCCCTACAAACCAACACTTGAATAAATTAATGATGTTGAATAATTGAGAATATCTGATCAAGGGTTAACAGTTCATAATCATCTAGTCCGATTCTCGGTTGAATTACAAAACCACTCTGATCTCCCTGGTGGATCTTACAGTGAATCACTATCAGTAAAAGACTAATTATATGTCAAGATCTATTAGAGTAATGTATGAAGGTTTTTCAGCTTCTCAGAGGGGTTCGGATTGTAAAATGTCAGCTATTTAATCGGTAACATGGTAAAGTTGATTGCTGTAGACTTCATATTATGAATGACATCATCACAATGCGTCTTCCTAAAGACTTCTGAATTAGGACGTCACTTTCCAGCAGTGCATATACTGACTACAGTTCCTAAAGCGGTAATTACTCCTGAGATTTCAGTATTTGTTTTTACCAATTCAAATCTTCTACAGAATGTACCGAATCAATAAATCAATATTTATATCTGTTTTATTTTACTTTCTATTTTTAGAAACATGTCGGATGGAAACTTTGAATTATCAGAATCTCAAGGAAATACGCTATCACCCTCTGACCCAAATGAAGAGGTGATTCTGACTCCAGCAGTTTACATACATTTCTCACAGTGAATTTTTTCCTCATTGCGTAATCATGCCTTGAATAGTTTTTTGCGTCAGTGACTCAGCTATGGAGTGGTTTCTGACCTCACACACACACACACACACACATGGTCCTAGGCCAATCCTCCACGAATGCGCTCCTAAACCAAGCATATTTACCGGGCCAATAGCGAACCCTGTAGGGTGGGAAGGTTGGGCGTGAGATTGCCTATCCCACCCAGTAAAATAAAATACTATCAATACGGAAATTTCCAAACTCAAATCTGTAACTCAATGTTCTACTCTGAGTTCAGAGAAATGAAAATAAAAATTAGTAATATTAGCGATGGAAGAAGAGAAAATGAACCGTACTCAAAATATTAACTTGATGGAATTTAATTGGCACCGAGGTCTAGACAGAATGGCAGTGCTTACTTCCAGTCCCTTGGGAAACCTTGTAGTACTAGGCAACAATTGAATACAAGGTGGGGACTGTTTAACAGGGATCTACGGGAGCAAACCAATCCAGCAGGAAGCGATTGTGCAACAAATATGCAGGAAGAAATGGAGGTGGACTGACTGTACCCTGAGAAAACAAACCATCAAGTGATACCACACGCCAGGCCATAGATCTCGACTGGAACCTAAATGGGAAGCGGTATTTCGGTCGAGGGTGACTTTGGGGAAGTGATGCGAAGAAGAGATGAAAACATGTGGGGAGATTTGGAGCCGGTTGAAAAGATTAGCAGAGGAGCGGACGCAATGGAAACGTGCAGCTGAAGCCCTATGTTCCTATAGGAACTAAAGAAAACAATAATAATAATAATAATGCCTTTTATCACTCTACAGCCATGGTCCCGTCGGGATCCATATTACAGCTTTCAGATCATGAGGCTTGCCTCGGGAAGCCGTGAACAGTGGGATGTATGAAGGCAAACACTCATTGATGACATTAGCTAAAAGAGACGCTTAATAAATAGCGCAACTGACGGGAATCGGAGTTGATCGGTCATTGGATCTTGTCCCAGCGATAGGATCTTCAAGTGGCTACTCAATTCACCTCAAGATAGTAAGTCGGATTCTCACCAGGTTTATAGATGTGTAGCGCTAGAGAGACGCAAACAATGACAGAACAGCGCTTTAATAGTGCATGGTTTTCATCGTTTCTCTAACCCTTGTCAGTTCTTGATACAACTTGAAACCGATCAATCAAATTGTTACAAATCAGCACTTGAAATCCTTACATCAGGTTAATAGTGGGGTGAAAATCCGAGTGAGATCATTGATCTTATATGTATATGTTTAAAACGTTGGTTGAGTGCTTCACCTCGACAAACTCACTCCCCACCCACCTACCAACCAATTAATGCATGTTGAAATAATAACAGAAAAGACTTATAGCTCAGATATATGCCTTTTATATGGCTTTAAGTCAGATGAATTTAACGCGAACACCTCATTACCATTCTAGACAGCATTTCCATTTGCCAAGTTAGTACAAGAATAGCAGATCGAAATCTCAATTTGCAAACTAATTTGCGATTCACACAATTCGTTAAGGCGAAATTTCACCGGAATTTCCTTTAGAAACTGAAAGTGCTTAAATCAAAGTATCTAATCTAGCCGATACCATGGATAGCAATCAATAGAGCAAGCATACAAGCGTGAAACTTTATATATCAGTGATCGAATGAGACAAGCACTTGTATACTACTCATATCAACCAGTAGTACTTGCTAGCCAGCCAGATCGAAGTGATGGCCAATCGATGCGATGGCCGTTTCATTCGTTTTGCGCTGATCTCATCTAAAGTATACCCGGTTTGATTCAGCTCAGGGAGTTGAATCACTAGAAACAACTTCGGAAGACAATCAGTCACACACATTTAAATGTCCTCAATTATAATTGATCCCTTGCCTTCCGAGTAGAACATAAGGCTTGAACAACACAACTTCACTTTATTCTATTTTCTGACATCCTCTCTAGCTGAGACCATAATTGCCAACAATCTGTCATCTCCTCCAACACTAACTATCTCCTCCACATCACAGTCACACCGATGACCCACTCGTTGCTTTCCATCCGAATCCCACTCGAGCAGTGGCCTGCATTGCATTCGATGTCATTCGGTGGATTCCTCAACACATGCCCGATCCGTCTCCATTTTCTCTTAAATATTTGTTGAGCAATCGGTTATTGATTGTTTCGTTCATTGCCAAAGTTTCTTGTTGCTAATTCTTTCTCGTCAGTCGGCTGACCATTTGATCCTCAGTATATAGAGCCAGCCAGTGAAGTCGGCAGCTGTTGATAAAAGTCTACAAGCTGCTGTAAAAAATGCTTTTCGTGACGCGTAAGCCAAGTTTCTCACGAATATTGAAGAAATGACTGACTGACTGACTTCACATTTGTGTTGAAACTCCGAATATTGTTGTTTATACCGGCTGAGTGCAGTGCAGAAGATTTTCAAACTGGTTTCACAGCGATGGTGGCGTATCTTGCCTTTCGAATTCTGGCTGGCCTTTGTTGACATTTTGATCCGTTCTAACTGCCTGTTGTTGAAATCATGCTTCCTGACCAGGTCATTGAAATAATAACAATAATAACAGCTTTATTCCAAACAGTATTTGTGGTACAGGTATGGAATTTTCAGCGTGCATTACAGTATATTGCATCTAATTACCTCATAAATTATATAAGATTTTTAAAAATCAAAAATACATAAAAATAAAATAAATAAGTTATAAATAAATAAAATAAATATATATTAAAAATTAAGAAAAAAACAAACAGCGTAGAGTATTTCATTTCAAACAATGCACCACAGGATTTGAAATATAAAGTTGATGTGTGGTAGAAGATGAGAACAACAGTGTAGTAGTAACGAGGAAAGGAAAAGAAAAACTAATGAGACTATTTGTTAGAGTGCTGCAGTAAGTTTATCGTGTCATACCTAACGGATTTCTCATCACATAACAGCTGTGCCAGATATGGTATTGTGGAGTTTTTGTATTTGGTAGTCCTAGCATATAGCCTCCTATAGCTGCTTCTAGTTCTTCCAGATGAAATGCAAGGAGATAGATGCGTATAGAGAGGATGCTCGGGGTCCGACAATATTGTATTCGCTAGTTTCTTACATGACATTATATGTCTATCTACAATAGTGTTCACCAGTTGGTTTAACGATATCCCACTTGCCCTACTAACAGCTTTTAGTGCCCTTCTCAGCGAAGCAAAGTCTTTCTTAAGTAGTCCAGGAAAGACTAATGGGGAGCAGTAAAGGAGGATGGGTAGAATACAAGAATTTACAAACTGAGAAAGCAAAGACTGCTTTATACCAGACTGCCTAAATTTCCTAATGTAGAACGTTAAGCGAAACATCTTTCTAGTAACTAGCAAGATGTGGGAAGACCAGGAAAGATCGGTGGAAAAACTCAGCCCAAGGTACTTGACATAAGATGTATTTTCAACCTCTGTGCCGTCAATGAGAGTGGGGCCATGTGAGCTAACTAGTTGCTGTAGGTCACATTTACGTCTGAAAGTGAAATTGACTACCTGACATTTAGACGGATTAAGCTTAAGTCCGTTTGAAGAGGACCACTGACTAATTTCCGACAGAAAGCTATTTAATTTGGAACAATCTGACTGAGAGTTGACAGGCATAGAGACCGAGAGGTCATCGGCATACTTAACAAAAGTGGCTACATCAGAATGAGGCAAGTCATGTAAGAAAAACGAAAACAGAAAGGGAGAAAGAACAGCACCTTGAGGAACACCAGCTAAAGTAAGTGAGGTAGTGGAGGATTTTCCATTGTAGACGGTGTACTGCTTCCTTTCAGAAAAATAGGACTGCAACCACTTATTTGTCCAGCTTTCAGCCTGTGTTGCAGCAAGCTTACTTAGCAAGAGAGACCTGGGAACAGAGTCAAATGCAGATGTGTAATCAAGGAAGGCACAGCGAACGTATTTAGCCCCTTTATCTAAACTAGAGACTATGCTATGGTGGAGGACGACAGCGGCATCTAACGTACTCCTACTATGTTTATAAGCAAACTGGTTGGGGTCGTTGAAAGGTTTTAAAGAGGGATCAAGATTAAGTAAAATAAGTCTTTCCATAACTTTCAAGAAAGGTGAGGTAATTGAAATAGGTCTAAACTTAACATTAGGTCCACTTGTAGATTTAGGCACTGGAACGATCTTGATGTTTTTCCATGATTCAGGTATAATACTTTTGGAAAACGATTCGTTGAAAATGTCAGTTAGCCTGGCCTCTGTCATATCTCTCCCGTTGATGGTTAATGGTGCTGGTTGTTGTTATTGGTTAGTCCGTTGGTCTTCTTCAATGCCCTTGTCCTCTCAATCTTCACCTGTATTCCTGTCTTCACTGACTGCTTCTTCAGCCAGTTTGTTGGTTTTCGCTTGTACGTCTTCCAGTTTCTGTGACATTAAACATAAACCATCTGCAGAATCGAGCGAGATCTTCTACAATCTAGTAATCGGTGGCCTGGTGTCTTCTCTCTTCACACACAGAGTTTGGTGCATAATCCAATCCACCACAATTATTAACATCATAGGTGATATTAGGCAGGAAGCCTTGTCATACTCCTGTATTCACTTGAAAAGCCTCGCTGAGGTTTTCCTTTGTAAGTCACCTGACACTTAGCATTGTCATATCGCTGTTGAATGAGGCTGATAAAAATTCAGGCACTGCACTACCATAGTGCTGAAGTGGTTTACAAATAACTTCTCGGCCAACTCTGTCTGTCGAAGGCCCTTTTGGAATTCGATGAAGTTGAGGTAGAAAGAGATAGAGAACAGTTTGACTGCCATCCTATGGTTTTTTTTGACGATGAGAGTCCTTACATCTTATTCATTCTCCTTGGACTAACCTCTCATAGGATTACAAGTGTAAACGAATGCGTCTATATCTGTATTCGTTATTTAATAAATTAACTTCATTACAGTCGTTATGTGCGTCGGTAGCACAGCGATAGAATGGTCACCGACCACGTTTGTGGTTCAGGGTTCGATCCCCAGCTGATGCACTCCTAAACCTCATTAAGCCAGTAATAAAAGCTGATAAAAAGAGAAGGTTTGGCATGAGGCAGGCTAGCAACTCCATGCCTTGAAAAAAATGAAAACCCTGTGCTACTGAAACTTCAAACCTCTAGCTTGAAGCCTTCCCGTGTTCCACTGGGAACGTAAAGAAATAAAATCAAACAATCGTTATTTCAGTCGCTGAATTAATTAACTTTCAGTCACAAATAGTCTATCTAAATATTTTACTATTCCACATTTAAAGTTACAAAGGAATTCATCTATCAAGTCGAAGCATCGAATTACAGTCAAACGACGTTCAGAGATTTTTCATTCAATTCCAGCTAGCATTCAAAAACAACTCAGCAAGGTAAATAAGAACCAAGCTAAAAGCAGCAGCAAATCAGAATTAAAAAAAAAGAGAAAATTAGTTCTCTAGCCTTCCTTACACGTCAACACAGAGTGTATTTTCTTTTTTTTGCATGGCTTTCTTCTTCGTTTCTAATATGCTTTGTGTTTTATGATTTTCAAAGTTGTGAATAACTTTAACCTTGAATGTGAGCTTTTGTTGATGTGGCATTTTTAAACATTTATCTATCACGTTAACGACAAGATCTTCTTCCACTGTGTCATGACGGCGTGTGTGACTAGTTGGTTACCGGTTATAAGACCTCTTGACTGACCTGTGTCTCAGCTCAGATTTCCCGGCTGAAATCACTTGAAGAACCACTAAAACCAAGAGAGTACTGGACAGCTCTTTCATCCTAAGTTGAGACACTTCAACAGTACGGAACAGTGAGAATCGAAGCCCAGTGTTTCAGGTTACAAAACGAAACTGTCGATTATTCAGGGCAATAGGCTGGGTGGAATTGAATAGGCATAACTATTCTAACTTGTACCAGTTTGCAATATATTACAGATGGCTGGAAGATTTCATCATTAGCTTAGATCGGTTAGAGAATCATTGGAAAATCACCTGGAACTACTTCCAAACAGCTGTTTAGTCCTCGTGCTCCAGACTCTCCGTCAGTACGGACGTAACCCCAGCAGGGTCTGAACCGAGGACCTTCTGGTTATGAGGCTAGCGAGCTCATAGTCAATAAAGCCATTAGGACCCAACTTAACAGTTAAACAAAACCAATACTTGAAAATTGATCTGATGCCTACTAGCGACTGGTCCTATTCAAGCAGTTACCTAGGTCTCTAAGTGAGAAGCCGTGACGCCTAGGGTACAGCAGGTCAAAAGTGAGGATAGTAACTTATCGAATACATTGCTAAGTGGTTGCGATGTGTCGTGAATTGGAAGAAGTTGGAATTCATGAGCTGGCCATTGGATAGTATCCCAGTGGTTGAATGGTCTATGAGCTCTCTATCCTTGTGACCAGATGGTCCTCGGTTCGAACCTTGCTGGTGGTTGGTGCGTACTGATGAAGAGTCCCAGGCGCTAGGACGAAACAACTGTTTGGAAGTTCTTCCAGGCGGTTTTCCAATGTCAGCTCATAATGAAATCCTCCAACTAGTCAAACAAAATCCCTACAAATCAATACAATTATAACCAGTTGTCATTAATTACAAAAGATTCAAACATTATTCTAGCCATTGAGCTTTATTTGAGCTGTCTGGCTTCATTATACTTCGACTTTCAAGCTTATCATAAACACAAATATTAAGGTCATTTTAGAGAAGAATTACATTAATTGTCTTCAAATGCTATTCTGCTGTCACTGTTTACAACGACGTCATGCATGAATTCAAATGCATTTAATCCTGACGTATGTTTTTTTAAATTTATATACATTATCTTCCTCGTCGTTGTATTCTTCTTCTTCTTCCTTATCTACATGTAGACATCGAAAGTGAAACCGCTTGGTGTAAATAATAAAACTCTGTCAAGGTATTTCGATAAAATGCTAGACACGTTAATCAATAAAAGTAAGTTAAAATGATTATAATACCTTATAAAGTGTGCATGAGGTAGGTGTCTATGCATTCGTGTGTGTATGTGTGTGTGTGTGTATTTGTCTGAGCACACGTCTTCACTGCCACTGTCCAGAATATCCATCCTTATCTGAAGATTTTATAATTGTCATGATTGTTCCCATTCCGTTCCGATTGAAAAACACACATTGTTGCACTCTCTGTACCCCATTTTCAGCTGCCCTCACGACTGCCTCACTCACTTGTCGTCTCCTATTCGGTTTCCACTTGATCGATGGCCTGCACTGCGCGCGCGATGGCACCCAACGGTCTCCTCAGCATTTGCACAATCAATCTTCATCCCCTTCTACATGTTCGTTGAGTATTTGTCTCTCGGTTGACTTTTTTTCCCAGCCAGAATTTCTTACTGTTGATTTTTTCCGACCAGATACCTGACCTTTTGGTCTTGAATATGTAGTCAGAAAAGGTGGCAGCTGTTGATAAAAGTCTTCAGCAGCTTATTAGAAATTATTTTCGTGACACTTAGTGCAAGTTTCTGACCGTATAGAAGAAGAACTGACTGGTTGACTTCACAGTGGTGTTGAATAGAATCCAAGTCTTGTTGTTTATGCTAGCTGAGTGTCGACTTACCAGCTGGTTTCTCAGTGATGAAGGTGAATTTTGCCTTTCGGATTTTGAATGACCTGATTTGACATTTTCATCCCTTTCCGACTGCCTGCTGTTGAAACCATGCTTCTTGGCCAGATCAGTGAAGGAATTCACTTCACCGACATCGAATTGATAACTAAAGAGTTCAATAGCTGCCGTTATGCCATCAAGTTCACGTCGGAATCAGAGATTAACTTAGAGTTCCATTTTTTGGATGTTTTTCTTAAACTGAGATCTGATGGTTCTCTTCAAAGACTGATCTGCAGGAAACCAACATAGAATGGTCAGTACTCAAATCTCCATAGTTGGGTCCCTTTGAGAAGAAAGAAAAATCTAATCAAATCCCCAGAAACCAACACTTGATTATCAATGAGATGCTCAATGGCGACTGGCCCTATTCACGTAGGTAGTTACCTGGAGTTCCAGTGGGAAGTCATGACCAGTAGAGTGCAGCAGGTCAGGTGTGAAGACAAATACTCGCCACTGAAGACATTGGCTAGCGGTCGAGCTATATCGTGGATTGGCAGAAGTTAGAATTCATGGGCTGGCTATTGGATCGGGTCCCGGTGGCTTAATGATATACGAGCTCACCTTGTAACCAGAAGGTCCTGGGTGCAAAACCCGCTGGTGATGGGTGAGTACTGTTGAAGAGTCCCAAACTAGGACAGCGGAAACAGCTGTTCAGTACTCGCCGCAAGTTTTCCAATGGTTCTCTAACTGATGTCAGCTCATGATGAAATCCTGAAACCAATCAAATCCCTACAAACCAACACTTGAATAACAAATCTAATCAGTTCCTTATCCTCAAGAATAAGGAGGATTTGTGCAAGTGACACAATCTATGGGGAACTGGGGCAACTCAGACAAGTCCTCATAGAGAATGGATATCCTTCAAGATTTATCGAGAAAAACATGAAGTTAAGGGAAAAGCCTGAAGGAATCCAGACGGTGCCGAAGAAACTGCTACTGAAGTTAAAAGTGATACCGCAGCTGAGATCCTGAAGAATCGCTTATGCAGATGACTGAGGGAAGCATTCTTTATGGTTGAGCTACGTATCAATTTCTATAGCCGACAAATGATCAGTGGATGTGTGAAGGATAAACTACCGATTTGGGCCACCTCAGTGTGTGTTTATAAATTCACCTGCTCGTGTGGAGCTAGTTATATTGGCCGCACAAAGTGCACGCCTTCCAAACGCATCCGAGAATTTTATCCGGCGGGGTTAGCAAAGGGACAATCCAAGACAATCACTAGCTCGATTCTCGAGCATTTGGTGAACTCAGAGTCCTAAACTAAACTGACGAAACAGATGCTCAGTACTCCAAGGTGGTTTTTGAATGGTTCTCTAACCGATGTCAGCTCATGCTGAAAATCCTGTAACCACCCAAATCCCTGCAAACCAACACTTGAATATCGATTACATTTTGTGATTATATCCCCACTTTTGAAAATTCTTTTTTTTATCTCAGCTGAAAACAAAAAGATGCTAGAAGAAACTGTTTCAACTCCGAATGAAAATGGAAGCGAAAGCCAATCACCTAAAGAACAAGGACATGAAGAAACTGGTAATGAAAATGGCGTCGGTGTCCTAAGCGGTAGTGGTACTACCAACGGCGTAGACAAACAAATAACAATTGATCCAATAAGTACTGGTCTAATTACCAATAATGATCATGATGTGACTGTGAATAAAACCAATTCTCAAAATTACGATGACGAAAGTGAGAATCAAACCGGTCAAAGGAATCGAAGTTACACAGTGAATATACCCGATGAGAAACTAATAAATATGCATGAAAATCTTTCTAGTAGTTGTTCACAGTTGACTATGTCTCCACCATTATCACTGGGTGATGAAGTGAATTCACCTGGATTGGCTGCATCGACAGATGATCTGCTTAGCTTAGATCAATATGATCCATATGAACAGAGGACAAAAAATCTATCAGTCAACGAATCCCTTGCATCATCTTGTTTAAATATTATATCACAGAATCAAGATGGTAGTGAACGAACACGGAATGATTCTACTCTAGAAAGATGGTTATCTCAGTCAGAGTTATTGAAACCGGTTACAAAATTAAAAGTGAGTTTAATGAAACATTTATCACAAATCTATGTATGGTTAGTTGGCAAATAGTAGCTAAATATATATATATATATAACTTCCTAGTGGATTGATTAGTGTATCGATAGCAGTCATATAGGAAGTCAGTTGCATAGCAAACGGCTTTGACGATTAGAATCTCTGAGTAGAAATCAATTCCACTGGGGAGACAGATAGACATGAATATGAGCGTGAAACTTGCTTAGGCTATCAGCCTCCTGTCAGTCGCATTCAAATGTTTAACACTTCACTCAGCTGGCTCTGTGTCGACTAAAAGAATTCACAACGAAAGAAGATAAAATCAATAATAATAATTTGCTTTATTCCAAAACAGTACTTGTGATACAGAATGGAATTCTAAACATCTTACTACAGTATTGCATCCAGTTTTATTTTTATTTTTTATTTTTGATTTACAGCTTGATTCCACACTGTATTTTTGGTACAAGTATGGAATTTTCAGCATGGATATCGGTAGCCCAAATTTTGCAGGCTGACCATAGATATCAGGTGTGCGCCGGCGTGGGCTCGAACCCCGGACCATGTGCATGGTCGGCGAGAGTCCTAACCACTGTGCCACCGACGCACGCAGTTGGTACATCATCAATAAATAAATAAAATTCTGCATAGATTAAGGGTGATCTCAGTTAGTTTTGACAACAACATATTAGCATGTCGATGGCAAAGCAAAAATCGAACAGAGTTTTTGAAGTTGTTAGAAAAGTAGATGCTAGCATATTTACTGGCGTAAGTGGTAGCCAAATACGTCGAGATATACAGAGTGTGAAAGAACGAAGAAGAATGTTTTAAGTAGAGTTTGTAAGGGAGAAAGAAACAAAGCAGCACATAACAGAAAAAGAAAGGGAGAGAAAAGGAAAAGAAAGAAAAAAATGTTGTACCTCTAAATGATATGATATGAGTTGGAAAGACGAGATCCAGTTGTTCTACTGACTGTTTAATAAGTCATAAGTTTCACGACTAATGCTTTCTTTATCCCACAGAACACGAGCTAAGTAGGGTATACAATTGGTGGATGGTGGCTAGCAGTGGAATCCAGAATGCGCATTTCGTCCTATTTGGGACTCGTCATCTGGATTCCACTGCCAGCCACCATCCACCAATTGTATACTAATTAAATGCCTAGACATCGTCGAAGCATCTTCACAAGAAGCCGACATGTCAACCTGAGACCGAGCACTTCGGTCCAATCAATCGACGGGAAAATCAAAAATTCAATTCAATAAGTAGGGTATGGTTGAGTTTTTGTAGTTGCTAGTGCGAGCATATAGTATTTTTCTGTAGAGGCTCCTGGTTCTGCCTGACGAGATACAAAGGGGGATATGTGAATGAAGAGGGTGGTGTGAGTTAGATATAATGGATTTAACCCATTTTTCACATGAGTCCAAGTGCCTGTCTACCAGAATATTAACAAGCTAGTTAAGTGGCACGTTGCTTACCTTGCTGACAACCTTTAACATCCTGCGTAATAAGATATAGTCCTTCTTCAGTAGTCCTGGAAAAACTAAGGGGGAACAATAGAGAATAATAGGCAGAATGCGAGAGTAAACGAATTGTAGGAGTAAGGGTTGGGTTATACCAAAATGTCTTAACTTCTTGATGTAGACGGTAAGACGGAATATTTTCAATATAATCTACAAAATAAATTGTAACTACTGTGAAAAACATTACATTGGCCAAAGTGGACGTCCTCTTCGTCTTTGTATCCATGGACATAAGCTAGCCGTCAAAAGACATACCATCCAATACCTCGCTCATATCACTACATACAGACAACCACGGATATCAATTCGACTCTGACAACCAGCGTTCAAATATTAGACGGAGAAAACACCAAGAATGATAGGTTCTTCAGAAGCCTGCCTGTTATTCCATTGAATTATCAATCAATAGACATATCGAGATAGACAAAATCTACCAATCAATGAGATAGAAATCTCACAGGTAAAGGTTAAAACTTCAGGTCAGGGTAACAGTCAGCGCCAATACCAATACAAGTAGCCTAGAGAATGTGAAAACAAACGAAAACAACCAATCACAACGTTTAGGGTCACCCACCAGGAGAGATGACTAATAAACTCGTGGAGAAATCTAAAAGCGCTCACTTCAATTCAAATTGAAGTATGTGCGCTAAAGATGTTGCCTAGTAGGTGGCAATAAAATCTTCGCAAATAAACTATCCAGCTCAGAGAACACAACTACATAAAAGTGCTTAACATGTTTGTATGGTAGAATAAATTGGTTTGAAAATTGGAATTGTTGATGAAATGACACTTCTTTGAACTTATTCGTTCAATATATGCGTGTCAGTCTGATGTGCTTCCATCTCTGAAAATACGCCATTAGGGTATTTGGAAATAAGCTGGAACCTGGACTTTTTATGAACAAGTGGACGAGGAACAGTTATAACCCTCAATAATAAAAGCCATTTTTTGTATTGTTTTGAGTTTTGTGTGAAACGTAGGGCCTCACGTTTGAGCTTTGAAGTTTTCTTAGCGGTGGTGTTATGTTTATGGGGTAAAACCGCTAAATTCATGGTCAAAACTACCAGTTTTTGGGCTTATTACTGGTAGGTTAAGAGTTGAGAATACTAAAGCTACAAATCAAGCTTGAACCACATGTTTGGCTGATGGACATTCTAGTGTTGAACCATTGATGATTTACCATTAATAGGCCGTTTATATTTAGATTGTGTACTAACCCACACTTCTTAAAGCACAGTTGTATAGTTCCTTTCTTCTGGTAGTCATGGAACTTTGTCTGATATGACGTTTTTAAAACCTATCAAAAATTGAGAGCTAATGTTTTCCTTAATATATGTGTAAAAGTTGGGCATCGTGGTAGTAAGTAATTCCATATTGGTTTGTTTCTTAGACGGACATATCACACACTCAGTAAAACAGTATTATTACTTACTGAATGATGTTACGAATAAAATTTATTACTGTTCATAATCATATGAATTATAATCACACGACTGCGAAACTGAAGTTTTACAGTTCTTTTTGTTCTCTCCTATTTGTCGTTGTAGGCTTGGTAGTAGAATTTTCCAGATGTCCTACTCGACAGGCATAGAATCATCCATTTTACACGCATTCCCTCTCAGTTGATTCGATGAACAAAGCTCCTGTTATTAATCTCTCCCTCCAACCTGCTGTCACATTAGACTGGATCTTAAAACTGTCATCATATCCCATCCATCCTATTGTATGGTTGTGTGTGTGTGTGTAATTGCATGTAGTTAGTGCCATAGCTGAAATATTCTCTAGATTTCTCATGTTATTCGGGTCAACTAACCTAGATTTTGCTGCTGGGTATTTATGCTCGGCTAGTCTGACTGACTGACCCTGTTCTACTAGTTTGACCCATGTATTTGACCTCACTGACAATCATTGCAGGCAGAGTATTAGATAAACTAAATTGTTTTGTTTTATTGGCTCCATAGGAGGGATCCTTTAACCGACAAAACATGCTTCTAATTGAGTTTGTGTGTGGCGGTGGGTGGTTTGAATGCCACTTTTATTCCTGCCTTGTTAATAATTCTGCGTAAGGTTTCCGAGATTCCTTAATTGTATGGAATTACTACTGATTATTGACCCGAATAAGGTAAGAAATCTAGAGAATACTTCAGCTATGTCACTCACTACATGCAATTACACACACACACATCCATACAATAAGTGCGTCGGTGGCACAGTGGTTAGGACTCTCGCCGACCATGCACATGGTCCGGGGTTCGAGCCCACACCGACGCACATCTGATATCTATGGTCGGCCTGAAAAATTTGGGCTACCGATATCCATGCTGAAAATTCCATACTTGTACCAAAAATACAGTGTGGAATCAAGCTGTAAATCAAAAATAAATAAAAAAATAAATAAAAAGATGGATGTGATATGATGACAGTTTTAAAATCTAATCTAATTTAACAGCAGGATGGAGGGAGGAAGAGACTGACAACGGAAGCTTTGTTTATCGAATCAACTGCAAATACATTTTATAGGAATGATTCAACACCTGTCCAGCCGGATATCTAGAAAATGCTACTACTACGCCTACGACGACAAATCGTAGAGAAGAAAGAAAACTATAAAACTCCAGTTTTGAAGTTGTGTGATTATAATTGATGATACGATTATAAACAAAAAGGCGAATGGTGTTCGAAACTTCGTCATTCAGTAGATAATACTGTTTCACTCACTGTGTGATATATCTAATAAAAAGATCAGTGTGGAACTATACTACTCTTCTTTATATTTTTCAGTCTAGCAAAGGAACCAGAATTTTTATTGTAAGATACCAGAAAGTGATGTACTCATTCCTATCCATTCACCCATTTTCTCCTATAAAAATGGCAAGATAAAATCCTCAACAGGGTTGTAGATCTAATCGCACTTCTTATCACACAGATGGTTCGTAGATCTTTGTGCAAATGAAACTAAGTCAATGTACTTCATCTGATTCTGTTTCACCTAATATCATGTGTTTATGCGACCAATCTTACAACTTAGAAAAGAAACTTACATACTGCATAAATCCAGATGTAAGTCATAGAGGTATATACATTACATTGCGGCCGAAGCACTCCTAAAATTCGCCTAGTTAACCAACCTGTTTTAACCACAGGAGAGAAGAGAGGTTGGCCATGAAGATTACAACTCTGTTCTTTAAAAATAACACTAGTACTGTAACAACAGAAGACAACGGCCAGGTAACAGATCGTTTATTAAGGAAATAAACAGATATTTATAAATTTTCATGTACATTATCATAGATTATTTAAGCAAACAAACACAGTCCTCTGATTGGTTGTTTCTCACAAAAAGTTAACCTTGCATCTCTTTGTGGCTGTTTCTTGAATGTCAGATCATCTATATGTTAACTGTATCCGCCTACGCAGAGCCTTTGTTCTCATTTTTCTCACGACCAATATTGAGGACATAAACACTGACGTGAATTACTGTCCACCAATTTTGACTAACAGTCAGCTCTCATCACAGTACTACTAAAACATCAAAGCTTGAAGCGGGATTTCCCATTCTGCACACTAAGTAACCTCTACATCACTGTCGTCACCTTAGAATCCTGTTTTCTTCCCTATGCTTTGAGTTCATCAACTGTTTTTATCCAGTCGAAATTTCATTTTCCTCCATTGCGTAAATCCTCCATTTTCCTTTTTAGAATCCATTTCCACGAGATGGTTATTTTTGGTCAGTTGCACTGTTCATTAAACTTGGTCGTAGATTAATACCATTGAATTCTAAAGGTGAGGCAATGACTGATTTTTAAAACGATTATTGATATTAATATACTTCTGAGTACAACAGCAAAGAGGCTCAGCTGGCTTCACAGCTGTTTACAAGCTTTCTACCCACAAGATCTTCTTTTTGTCAACATTGGATTAATGTGCAGCTTGCCTTTCGTCACTCGGGTTGTATTGCCTGGCACTCGATGTCTCCTCAGCGCGTATTTCTAAATCATATCCATTTTCTCCTACACACCTGTTAGGTAATAAGTTTTTAACTGGTTCACTGATGCCTATCCTTCCATACTGGCCGTCAGATCTTCAGTAGTGAGACAGACGCCTATTTGGAGTACACTTTTAGCGACATTTCTCTGGACTATTTACTTGAAGTTTTAGATTTTCCCGTTGACTGACTGGACCGAAGTGGCTCTCGTAGCCTAAGTGGTCTAGTGGATAACGCTTTGGCGTTTGAAACTATGGGTATTGGTTTCGAGCCTCAGTGGGAACATCACTGACTCACTGGAGAATGCAGGTAGTGCACGCTGTCTTGGATTCCACTGCTAACCAACGTCCACCAATTAAATTCTCCGAACCATTCAAAGCCATTGACTTGAAAGTTGGTCTAACTAAAAGTAGCTCCCTTAATGAATGTGTGGTGAAAATCAATTCGGATAGGATGGAATAGGCTTGAACTGAGAGAAATATAGAAAATATATTCAAAGAGACGAACTAATATTAAAGCACTTAAAGTAATGTCAAAAAACGAAATTAGGATATTAACAATAGTGAAGGAGGGAACGATTATTACCATTATATCCTTTATTTCCTAGAAGAACATAGGGCTTCAGCCGCGCGTTACCATTGCGTTCGGTTCTCTAACAGCTTTTTCACCCCACTCCAAGTCTGCCCACATGCTTTCATCTCCTCTTCACATCACCCCCCCCAAGTCACACTTCCACTGACGACCAACTCGCCGTTTCCCTTTCGGGTTCCACTCAAGTGATGGCCTGGAGTGTGATGTCACTTGATGGTTTCCTCAGAATATGCCCAATCTACCTACATTTCTTCCTGCCTATTTGTTACCCAATCGGTTCCTTTCGGGGTGTTTCGCTCATTGCCAGAGACTCCTCCGAGCTGCTGATCTTTTCTGGCCGGCCATCTGATCTTGAGTGGGTGTAGTGTTGAGTGAAGACAGCTGTTGATGAAGGTGTGTAGTTTGTTTGAGGTGCTCTCAATGACGCGCCAAGTCTCTGGCCCGTAAAGTAGCACTGACTTCACATTGGAGTTGAAAGTCCGGATGTTATTTTTCATGTTGAGCAGTGCTGTTGACCTCCACAGAAATTTAAGAGTATTGACAGCTTGTCCTGCTTTTCCGATTCTGGCTTTGATATCCTCGTCAGTTCCTCCTGTAGTTGAAACGATGCTTCCCAGTTAGGTATTTAGGTGAAGGAGGTTGTTTCTTTCAGGTTCCTCCCATTTATACTGGCTGATTGTTGTCTGTTGTTGGCCAAGAATCTTCATCACCTCTGTTTTATCTTTGTTCACCTGGTGTCCTATCTTTGATGCTTCTTCTGCCAACTTGTTACTTTTCACTTGCATATCTTCCAGTTTATGGGAAATCAGACATATATCATCGGCGAAATCCAGATCCTCCAAGTCTTTTGTGTCAGTCCATTTTATGCCTGTTCCCTCGTTGGTTGCCGTTGTCTGTCGCATTATCCAATCATTTGCAATCAGGAAGATCATTGGTGATAGTAGACAGCCTTGCCTCACTCCCGTCCTCACTTCTGTGAAGGCTTCCGTAAGTTCCCCGTTGTGGATTACTTGACATGCAGCAGTGTCGTACAACTGTTGGATGAGATGCATAATTGTCGATGGCACCCCTTGGTAGTAGTGAAGTAGGTTCCAAATCACCTCTCGATCGACGCTGTCAAAGGCCTTTTCAAAGTCGATGAAGCTGAGTGAGGTGGAGAGGTGACTGCCATTCCAAGCTTTGTTCAATGATGATCCGTAGTGTGGCGATTTGATCAATAAATGACTTGTTTCTCCTGAATTCAGCTTGTTCCGGTCGAAGTTTTTCATCCAGGTTGGTGTGTTTGATTCTCTCCAGGATGATGCGGCTTAGTAATGTGCTTGGGATGGACAAGAGCATAATTCCGCGCCAGTTTTTACATTGACTTAAGTCTCCTTTTTTTGGTGGTTTGAATAAGTATCCTTTCTTCCAATCCTCGGGTACTTTGCCCTCTTTCCTCACCTTCTCCAGTAGTTTTGTCATCAAGTCCGCTATTGTCTCTGGGTCTATTTTCAATGCTTCTGCTGGAATTCCATCTGGTCCTGCTGCTTTTCCAGCTTTTAGCATCTTGATTGAATTCAGGACTTCTGATTTCGTCGGAGGGTCGATGTTCACTGGTAATTCTGCTTCCGTTGTTGGTATCGTTGGGCACGTTGTAGGTGGCGGACGATTTAGAAGTCTTTTGAAGTGTTCGGCCCAGTGTTTTCTTTGCTCTACTTCTTTGGTGATTGACCTTCCATTGTCATCCTTTACTGGCTTAATCTGTGTCGAACGTTTGCGCGATAGGTGCCTAATTGTTTGTTACAGTGTGACGAGGTCTCCTTTGCCTGCAGCGAATGAGAGGACGAAGTTAGACTTAATGAAACTAAACATAGAAAAAAGGGTAATCAAAATACCTTCACATAACGGTTATAAGTGCAAAGTGTTCATTTTGTGTTCATTTGTGTTCAGCGATCCACCTTTATGCAGGTGATGAAAACTTAGGCTATTAGAAAAATTTAATTTAGCCTCGTAGGTACCCTCAACAGTGAAACTTTCGGGAGCTGATTGACCTAACTTGAGGTGTTCAGGAACGGACGACTTCGTCATACTATATACTCATCCTTTGTCGTGTAAAGTGAATTATATATCAGCTACGCGTTTCGGTAGAGCTTACTTACAAACTCCAGGGCTTTTGTCTGCAGAGGATTATGAGAAGCAGTAGATACACATGAAGGTGAAATTAAGCGGAATATTACGCTGCATAAATTGTTGAATAATAGTCCCATTCGATAATACTAAGCTTAATTCCCATACTAATCTTACTTCAGACACGCTGGGTAATTTTCATTAAATATCCCTGGATTCTAACGTCAGAGTATTAGGAGTTTTGGTTGCCGCTGATTTTATGTAGTGACCACCGCGGGGTTTCGCTCCATATGGTGAGGTGATCCGATACAGTATACCATTCTAAGAGTTTAATTTCTTTAGGCTAAGCAATAAGAAGACGTAATTTGACTGAATCGTGTGTGTAATGAATTTGCGCAACACATTTCGAACAATGTGACCACACAGGGACTCGTCATAGGAATGTATAAATGAAATTAATACAGAGTTAAGAGATGAGAAAATAGACTTATGTCAAGTTAAAAAGACACACTGAAGATCAAAATGACAATGAAGACCACTAAACCAAATAACCGAGGTAATAGTACATCTACTGATATCAAAACAAAGTTTACCAATGAAGGTGATTGGTGTGGTGACGATTGTTTTTGAACTCATAAAGGTAGTTTAAACCTTCTAATTGTTAGCTTGTTCTTCCACAAACTTTAGGATACGCCCGAAACACGTTTTATAGTCCTGTCTCTATAATATGTTTCGCAATAGACGAGCTAGGTCTCCTGTTCTCACCCTTAATGAATTCTGAAGATTCTCTTTGTTTCGGGAGCCATTTAGGAATATGCTCTGAAGCCATCCCTTACTTGCAGAGATCGATGAGTCCTCCCTATGTATGTGTGTCCACACGTACATTCAAATTGATAAATGAAGTGGAATATGACATCATTTGTCGCCTGTTCAATTCAGATAGATTACGTCTTCTTATTGCTTTATCTAGATTCACAAAGGGAACTAATTGTTTGAAAGTTCAATTTTTCCTAGACTGGTTGCTTATTGTCAATTTTCTTGATAGCTTTGATGTCATTTATTTGTGTTGGTAATCGCAACTAATATTGGCAAATATACCAATTAAATGGATTCTTCGAATTTCAACCTAGATACTACTAGGTCTATGGCAGTAAAATGCTCCACGACACACTTTTCATTCTGTAAGAGGCTCATCAAATGTAAATTCCAGTTAACTATAGTTATGCGATCGACTTCGTTTCATGAACCAAAATCTACCCGTAAAATCACTCGGATACCTATCCCCTTATACATTCAGCATTTGAAAAAATTGCCAAAGTTATTATATTCCTCGTTGAACAATATTTGGCTGTTTTAGGGCAGCTGACGTAGTGGATAATGCTTTGGTTTTTCAGAGAGTGGATAGTGACTTGGAGTTTCAGTGAGACTGCCATACATACTAGCTGTAGATGCAGGTATATACAGATTACGAGTCCAACATAGCGCAAAGTGCGCGCCCTTTATTCCACTTATTATAACTATTTCCTTCAATTCCCGGAGGAACATAGGGCTTCAGCCGCACGTCTTTAATGCGTTCGGTTCTCTGCTAAAGTTTTCACCTGGCTTTAAGTCTACCCACATGCTTTCATCTCCTCTTCACATGACCTCCTCCAAGTCACCCTTGGACGACCAACTTGCCGCTTCCCAACCAAGTTCCACTTAAGTGATCGCCTGGTTTGGGATTTCACTCACTTGATGGTTTGTTTTCTTAGAGTATGACCAAGCCAATCCACCTCCATTTCTTCCTGCTTATTTGCTGCCCAATCGGTTCCTTCTGGGTTGGTTCGTTCATTGCCAAAGATCCCTGTTGCTGATCTTTTCTGGCCGGCCATCTGATCTTGAGTGGTATTGAGCGAAGATAGCTGTTGATGAAGGTGTGTAGTTTGTTTGAGGTGCTCTCAATGACGCGCCAAGTCTCTGGTCCGTAAAGTAGCACTGACTTCACATTAGAGTTGAAAAACCGGACCTTATATTTCATGTTGAGTGCTGTTGACCTCCATACAGACTTGAGAGTATTGAAAGCTTTTCTTGCTTTTCCGATCCTCGTTTTGATATCCACGTCAGTTCTGCCTGTCGTTGACACGATGCCTTCCAGATGGGTAAAGGAGGTTGTTTCTTTCAGGTTCCTCCCACTTATAGCCAACACCAATCAGATGGCCTTCTTATCTCATCTATATGCAATTTAGAGAATTTAGAATTTTGTTGGATGCTGACTAGCAGTGAAATCCAGAACAACATGCACTTCGTCCTATTTGGGACTCATCATCAAGAGGATATACCTGCATTCCCCAGTAAGTCAGTGATGGAATTCCCACTGAGACTCAAACCCAGTACCTTTGACTTTAAACACCTGGATCACGAGAACCACCTCTTGTACGGTGGGTACTGGTTATTATTTAACTCATTTTGAACTTTCGCGTTCAGCTTCTGTTGACTTCAGGTTAAATCCTCAGGCATCGTTGAAACATCCATACAAGAAGGCAACGTGGCAACAGAGGCCGAACTTTACTTCAGTTCAAAGTGAACGGAATACTAATTTAGACTTTACGCATAATTTAATGTTCATGTTATGATGAATGTGGTGAGTGAACTTTACTGTTGAGATAAACAGCATTATAATTAAGGTGAAGTAACTTGAATATGAGAATATAGCAAAAAGAAAAACGACGTTATTGGGTCAAATCAAATAAAAGATTGATTGACTGTTTGATTGATTTATGCGAAATGGTGAACTCTGTGCACTGTATAAGTTGTTGCCACAATGAATATATTATTTCAGGTTACGGTGTAGTAGTAGAGAAGGTGTATAGCTCAAAGTGAATGTTAAAAATGACCGTTTCGTCCTAGTTGGGGACTCTTCAACAGTGACCTCTTCCCGCCCTTCCCCCCTCCTCCCATGAAGAGAATCGGATAAATTTGGATTATAAGGCGAGAATATTACACTATCTTTGATTGATTGTAGATAAACGCCACGTTATTCTAAAGACTTCACTGGTTAAAATATCACCCAAGATATTCTAGAAACATTATTTCTCGTAGAATTATTTTCATCTATGTTACGTTTACAGTAGATTCCCGGTAACATGTATGATTTGTCACCTGTTATTACAACTACACATCTAGAGGTATTTTGATTCAAATTCAATAGGGGTTCCGTCACTGACAGCTGTTCGGACCTAGACTTGGAGTACTTCAGCACCTATGACTACTTGTGAGAATCAATCCTACGACTTTTGTGTTACAAGGGGCAGTACAATCATCGTGCTGGAATCTTTTGGATTTTGCGTTGTCATTTCTTTCACTTTGTGATATTGCCCTACAATCGCCAATGAGGAGAATTTATCCTCATGTGCGAGTCAGTAGACCTCAGCAAAATTACTAATTCTCATTGGTCAGTGATTAATAATCAGTGGCATTGTTGCATAATTTGGTTGTGGAGAGATTCGGATGGTTTTTAAAAAAGATGTCTGTCACTAGATGACGTCAGTTACACTAAAGAAGTTGAAACAAGAGATTCATCGAATACATTCTTTTCAACGAATTTATTATCAAGTTGTACCATCCCGTCAGGGAATTGAATCAGAGGTGTGAATGTATTGAATAATAATAGTAGTATGAAATACAATTAGAATTAAAATATTTGTGATTACAATCATAGTTAAATGTCAAGTGGCAAAACAATTAATGTCATATATAGAATAATTCATAGGATGGATAGAACTTGGAAGGGGTGTGCACTTATAAGATTAGTAGGCAAGTCGAATAAAACAAAAACGTTACGTAATATTGTGTGAAAACTGATCATACAGTATTTAACGTCGCAAAACAAAGTCGATTTAGAATTACAAGTGGAATGAGTGAAATAACACCGGGGGACAATTCAAAGTGAGGATGGTAATAGTAACAATTGACATAATAAAGGAAGAGTATACAAAGCCAATAAACAAAACATAAAATAAGTAGAGCAAAAATATGATTAGGGATTACCATACTTTAGCATAGAGGGATTATAACACCATGAAAGTTGAAGGGGTTGGACGAACGTTTTCTGTACACAGAGATCTGGCTACCCTGTTTCGATAGCCAAAGCTGTTTCAGCAATACAGATGAGTCTGGTACGTAATGATTTGGGTTAATTACTTTTTTCTTGTAGATGACTTTAAAGGCTGAGGTTGTGGAGATAGGGTAATTTAATTTTTTTAAGAACCATGTATATACGACTGTACAGCTTGATAACATATTCGTTGAAAAGAGTCTCCTCGCTGAATCACTTGTTTTGATTTTCTATATGTCCACTTGCGAATTTTCCACGAATTACATGTCATGAATTGGCAGAAGTTAGAACTCATGAGCTGGTCATTGGATCGGGTCCCAGTGGCTTGATGGTCTATGAGCTTACTAGTCTTCTAACCAGAAGGTCCTGGGTTTGGACCCCACTGGTGGCGGGTGCGTACTGATGAAAAGCCAGTCACAAATAAGGTTGACGAAACAGCTGCCCAGTACTTCCAGAGGGTTTTCAAATGGTTCTTTAACTTATGTCAGCTCATGATGAAATCCTACAACCATTGAGAACTATAATATAAGTAAATGTCACAATGGATAAAACTTTACCAAAACAAACAGCTTAAAGTATTGTAGCCATCAAATTTCGTTATTTTATCCTTATTGACTAACTGAAGCCTATTGGTGACAGTGGCAGGCTTCCAGACATCCTTTACTGTCCTTTACTGTTGAGAGAAAGAAGTCTCTACTTGCCCAGAGTAAGTTCAATTTTATATCGCCTGAAGTTTCTGTAGCAATCGGGATGTTATTTTACGAGATGACTTTGCTAGCCTCATCCTCGACCTTCCCATATTTTCTGCTTTAATAATGGCTATTGAGATAGTTAAAGTTTTAACCACTAGGCCGTTGGGCAAAAACTCAGTGAGTGCAGCACAGCTGGTTTGAGTCTTTTCATAAGTCAGAACTCAAGACCTTTAAGTTACATGGTATTCCAGTTGAGATTCAGATACATAACTAACCTTTGTGTAAATAGTGTGTAAGTGGATCAAACCACACAGAGAAAATCATTTTCTCTTTACTTGTGCAATCAGGTTAACTCTAATTGTGTATACAAATTTACATGTATTTGTGGGAGCAGTTACACTGGAAGAACAGAATGAAGGGGAACACCTCCGATTTCCCGAACACTTATAAAAATGCCTACGTCTTAAGGGAACAAATGCCTTCAATAGTGCCATTGCCAGACAACTCCTTGATATGGGTCATGAGATGGATATCACAAAATCCATTAAAATTGTCTATAAACAAAACTTCTCATTTCTCCCCTTAAGTTTGTGAACCGAAGCAATATCTATCAGATGCCTGAAAGCCAATTTATGTGTTCAGAAAGAAGATGGGTTACCAGTCTTTCCCCCCCCCCTTCCCCCCTGGAAACTGAATGTCTCTATTTTCTCTTTTTCTTTTGGTTATTATGTAACTCATTTACAATTGTATATTTGCTTTGTTTTGCTTTCTTTTATTTATTTATTTAGGCAGAAGTGATCCTTATGTGAAAATTAAGCATACAGGAAGTGTGTTAGCCAGAAGTCGTATGGTCCCCAATAATAGTAATCCTGTATGGGATGAAAAATTTTGGTTCCGTTTGTGTAGCTTAGAATTACCTATAGAGGTAAGCGATATGGTAATTCCATACAAACAATAACAAACTACTCATTATATTGATTGATATTCAAGTATTGGTTTGCAGGGATTCGGCTGATTGGTTATAGGATTTCATCATGAGGTGACATTGGTTAGAGAACTATTGGAAACTACCTGGAATTACTGGACAGCTGTTTTGTCCTAGTTTGTGACTCTTCATCGGTACGCACTCACCGGGTTTCGAACCCAGGATGTTCTTGTTACAAGGCGAGCTCGTAGACCATTAAGCCACTTGCACCTCATCCAATGACCCATGGGCTATCATCAGTCCCAAACCAAGACGAAACAGCTGTCAAGTACTTCCAGGTTTTCCAATGGTTCTCTAACCAATGTCAGCTCATGATGAAATCCTCTAACTAAACTATTCACCATATTGATTATTATTATTATCATTCCCTTCGGAGTTCTGAGTGGAGCATAGGGCTTTAACAGCGTATCTCCATTTCATTTTCTTTTCTAGCTGTCTTTAAGATTGCGGTCATGCTTCTATCTCCGCCTAATCTAATCTCCTGCATGTCACTTTTCAACTTACTCCAATCCTGTCCTTTCTTATTTGAGTGACTTACTTGGAGTTCGATAATATCTCCTCCCTGTCTCTACTTCCTTCCACAAATCAGCAAGTTATTCATCCAGACTAAAAATCATTATTTAATGGTATTGTCAAGGAATTATAAATTTCATTTAGACAGTTTGTTAGAAAAATAAGTTGTTCCAAAGTAGTTCACGTCATGAAGTAACATGTTCCAGAGAGGTGTGAAGAAAATTACGAAGACATTTAGAAGGCAAAAGAATTGAACGAACGAATATTTACTTTTTAAATTAAATCCTTATCTCTGACGCTGATCTAATATATGCAGCACTTTTTACACAATACACAACAATTAGATTGGGCCCTAGTAACTAGTGTGACGTGTCTAGTCCTTTGTGTTTTAGTGCAGACTGAATTCTATCGTCAGTCAAGTTTGCAATATGGTCCCCCCTTCTAGGTAGCTTGCTATCACGGTGTACATTGACTTGATGATATTAGATGGTTGGAGCCCAAATACCTAGCACAATGGTCACGTCTCTGACTGCAGCACTGCACTGAATGATGCGCGTTTGAATCTCACAGGGGACATCAGTTGTTCCTAAAAGTTTCAAATATGCCTTCCTTGACTATTGAGTGCCAACTAGCACGAAACCTAGATGAAGTAATGCTTCCTATGGCCGATCGCCTTCAACCTAGTAGGTGACCTAGGTTATAGTGGGAGTTCATGACCAGTAGAGCATAGCAGATCAGGTGTTAGGAAAATTACTCACCACCGATAATATTGTCTAGTAATAGTCGCACTGTATAGTGAATTACCAGAAGTTTTCCAATTGTTGTGTAACCGATGCCAGCTCACGATAAAATCCTGTAACCAAGTACTGTATGTATTGTATTGAGTGACGGTTGAAAGTGAAAAGGTGATCGTTACCTTGATGACAGGATTCAAACCACCAGCTTTCTAATCATAGACTCAGTGATTTATCAGTCGGCGAAGTTAAACTTTCGACACCACTAACTACCAATCAGCGAATTATCCAATGAGATTCACGAACGATGTCGAATTATCCAATGAGGTTCACGAACGCAGTTCAATGTTGTATAGCGCTTGATTCATTTCTAATGCGTGACCTTACAACGCTACAGTTGCAATTCGAAGAGGTTAGTTTTTTCCACTATTTCCTGGATTTGAGCTGCTCCGGAAATAGCGAATTTGTTTGTGTGGTTGTACCATTACTTTAAAAAGCTGTACCAAATCAGCTGATGGGTTTGTTCATCTGGTAATTTTAATATTTCTTAGGAACTTACTTTCACTAGGTCGCATCTCTCCCTAGCCCAGATTTTGTATATCTGCAACTAATGGGTGTTGAAACAGGCTGTGAGAGCAGCAGCTGCCGAGATGGAGAATAGACATGTCTCAACAGTTCAGTGGTACCAGCATTGCAGAGACATCGCATCATGGAAAATGGGGAAAATCACTTGTTTGCTAGGTGGGGAAGACGTTATCAAGCGTGTCGATGAGACAGTGCTGGTAAAAAAGAAATACAACCTTGGTCGCTAGCAAACGAACAATATTTGGGTAATAGGTTTGTATGACACCTCCCTCCGAAAGGGATTCGTCGAAAGGATAGCAGATGGAAGAGCATTGACAGTCCCATGCTAAACTTGGAGATGTTTCTCTAACATGTTCGAGAAAGACATCCTATGTAACTTTTTCATTCTCTATTTTGTGCTTTTTTTCTATAAATATACATTTCCATTCATCATACATGCCTCTTTAATGTAATTGGTTCGATCAAGGTCGTTTGCTGATTGGTTGTAAGTGGTGTCGAAAGTTTAACTTTGCCTATCAGTCTAAGTTGCTAGTCAGTGTGCCGTAATTTTCATTTGATTACTTGATCTAAAGGTTCATAAATTTTAACTCTTATGAAAAAACCCTAATTAAACCTGATTTAACCTCAAATTTCAACTCCCCTACCGTTTTTTCTCCCATTCACTCTATATTTTCTACTTTTTGCTCAGTTGAAAGTTTATCATCGTGATGCATTTAAAAAGGATTCATATATTGGTCGTACATTAGTCAGTCTCTTGGATATTGAAATGGATAGGTGAGTGTACCGTTATTACTATTTAGTCATTATTTATGCATCAGTAGTTCTTCAACTTCAGGTCAGCCTACTACGTATTTGATTCTGGTTCGAGTCCATTACTAATGCACCCATTTTATCTTGTTAGATTTACAAATCAGCGCTAGTGATGATCACTTTTCCAACTCCATAAATTATCATCAACCGAAAAGGCATTGAATGACAGTCAAACCAATACTTCAATTTCATTGACTTTGGAAAGGTCTTTGTCAGCGTTGAAAATTACTTTTGGCACTATGGCATAAATCTCTGCCAGCCTTAATCAACAGCGATATGTTACATTGGCTCGTGTCAGGTGATCCACAGTGGAAAACCCAGAGAATGAAGACAGGAATAAGACAAGGCCGCCTGCTACCAACCACAATGATATTTCTTATTTTGGTGAACTGGGTTATGCAGTACACCGCACATACGTGGTCAGCAAGAAAAAAATGGAATACTTCAAACCAATAAGAAGACTATAGAAGATATGGACTCGGGAGTTGGGATGAACCGAATCAATAACCTATCACTCAACACATATGCTGAATTAGAGGATTTCACAGTGAGATATATTCCCATATCTCATGAATTAAAAGTCAATCAGAATGTGAAGAATATTCTTTACAGTAATTTCTCCACTTCAGGTTCTTACAGTTAGAAAATATAAAATTCATTCTTGTCGTTACAATAAAGGCCAGTTATGCGGCGGATATGTATATATGTCGAAGAAAATGCAGATGGATTGGACATACGCTGAAGAGACCGTTGATGGATATCACACACCACACTCACTAGTGAAGCCTAAATTGGAAAACAACAAGCTAGGTGTGAGTCGTAGGATGACATGGAGGAGATCGCATAAGAAGGAGATGACAGACCATAGGCAATCGTTGGATCAACTATACGGGATCTCAGAGAGTCGAACAAAATGAAGAAGTACTGTTGAAGCCCTGTATTCCCCTCGAAACAAAAAGAAATGAAAAACTTCGATAATTACTAATGCCAGCTCATGATGAAAATCCTGTAACCAATCAAATATCAGTGAGATGATCACTAGCGAATTGCCCTATTCAGGTAGGTAGTTACCTGGTATTCTAGTGAGAAGTTGCGCCCAGTAGGGTACAGCGTGTCTGGCGTGAGGACAAATACTCACCGAAGACATTTGCTGGGGTCGCGTGATCTCGTGAATTGGCAGAATTTAGAATTCGTGGGCCATTGGAGATGGTCCCTGTGATCTCTCAATGGTATACGAGCTAGCTAGCCTAGTAACCAGAAGGTTCTGGGTTCGAACATCGCCGATGGTGGGTGCGTACGGATGAAGAGTGCCAACCTAGACTGACGAAACAGCTGTCTAGTACTTCGAGGTGGTTTCCAATGGTTCTCTAACGAATTTCAACTCATGATGAAAATCCTGTAACCAATCAACCGAATCCCTACAAACCAACACTTTGATTACTAATTCATTAACGAAAATGTGAATGTTAAGGCGTCACTTTGAATTATTCGCTACATTTTTTTCATGTAGTTGTATTCTCTGAGCTGGATAGTTTGCCTGCGAAGCTTTCATCGCCACCTACTGGGCAACATCTTCAGTGCGCATACTTCAATTTGAATTGAAGTGAGCGCTTTTAGATTTCTTCACGAGTTTATTAGTTATCTCTTCTGGTGGGTCATCTTGATCATCGTGATTGGCTGATTTGTGTATTTTCACATCCTCTAGTCTACTTGTATTTGTATTGCAACTGATTGTTTCCTTGACTTGAACTTTGACTCTTTGTGTGCGAGATTTCCTTCTTATCGATTGGTAAATTTTGTCTTTGTTTGGTGTGCCTCAGTAGCATACTTATCACTCCTGCCCTGTGACACGGCAGCAGGAAGCGCGGTCGTTGTTAATCCGGGCCATGGCCGATCCAGCATGAAAGTTTGTGAATTTGCGCATGCCTAACCACCGCCTCCCCCGACGGGCATTGCTAGCTGATATAGGTTCAGGTTGGAAAAGAGCCAGTGGTGGCCAAACAAAAACATGGCCTCATCAATCCATGAAATCCTTGACAATTAACCTGAGTCAGGTGGGGAGGGAGATGCAGACTCCCGGGTTGGGGTCCTCGGGACTCTAGGAATCAATGGCTGGAGACAATAGGTGACATGGCTCAAAATCGTTGTCAATGGCCAGCGCAGATGTATTCAGTCTCTGTAATCTTTCATATTCCTTTCTATCATTACCCATTCTGTTTCACTCTTATACTTGTCAGACTGTATTGATTCTCTTCACTCATCTTCTTGTCTACCTCTGTGTGCTATTTGGAAGGTGGCAACTCGAACTGGTGCACTTCGGTGCCAAGTTCTATGTTGAATCCAGACAGACAGACAGAAATTTTGTCTATCTCGACATGTCTGTTGAGTGACGATTCACTAGAATACCAGGCAGTCTTCTAAAGATTCTCTAGCATTTTCGGTGTTTCCCTTGTCTGATACTTCAAAGTAATCCTAGTCGAATTGATGTCCGTGGTTGTCTGTATGCAGCGATATAAGCGAGGTAGTGGATGTCATGTATTTTGATGGCTAGTTTATGTTCAGGAATACGAAGACGAAGGGGATGCCCACTTAGGCCAATGTAGTTTTTTTCACAGTTGTTACAGTTTATTTTGTAGATGACTTTGGTTTTATCTTTTTTCGCTGTTGAGTCTTTTAGTTGACGTAGAGCCAGCCAGCCATCTGAGTGGTGAAGTGATTTTGTTGGTTTGTGTGCGACGTCAATTTCTAAAGTTGTGAAGAGTCTTTCAGTGTTATCTGAGATTTTCTTTTTCCTTTTCTTTGGGGGCCATTATCATATCTATCCGTCATATCTATTTCCCACATTGTTAATTTAGGTATACCACTGAAATTTCCTTTTAAGTAGAGTACGATATGATTAGGAAATGTTAAATAGGGCAAATATTTTAATTTCAGGTAAGACTGATAAGACAAGCCAGCAGGCGAACATAGAGAAAACGAAGGTGATGTAGATAAACAACCAACAGTAACAACAACTACCATCAACTGGAGAGATTCGAGAGAGGTTAGGCCCCTTACTCATCAAACCAGGAGGCATGGTTTCAACCATAGGCAGTTGAAACGGATGATGATATCGAATACAGCTAGCCAGAATCGGAAAGACTAGATATGCATTCATCAATTCAAAATCGGTTTAGAAATCCTCTGCACTGCACTCCACTGCACTGTACTTAGCCGGCATAAACACCAAGATCTGAATTTTAAACAACAATGTTAAATCAGTCAGTCAATTAATTCTTCTATATGGGTCAGTAACGTAACTACCTCGTTACAAAAAGGATTTTCAGTAAGTGACTGCAGACTTTTATCAACAGCTAACTGCTTCTCTGTCTGGCTCCATACTGAAGATCAAATGGCCAGCTGACTGGCCAGAAGAAATTAGTAATAGGAAACTCTGGCTAGAGATAAACCGACCAGAAGCCGATCGCTCAACAAATATGTAGGATAAAATGGAGTTGGATCAGACACTCGTCGGATATATATCTACATCCCTGGAATCCTACCGCGCTCAATGCAGGCCATCGCTCGAGTAGAATCCCAATGAGAAGCGATCAGTCGGTCGTCAGTGCGAGATCGTATGAGCAGGAGGAGGAGGCGGAGGAGGAAATAGGGGGTTATGGGCAATCATGGCCCTTTTTGAAGAGGACAGTAGAAGAAAGTGGAGATATGTTGTTGATGTCGTATGTTCTACTCGGGATCCAAGATTATAATTATAATAATATAATATGACTGATTTTTAAATGGTCAGTAAGCGAAAATGCGATGCGGATCTCATCACTAGCTGTCATTAATTACAGAATAATTAAACGCAAAAAACAGCCCTACACAGCGCTGTTTCGTCCTGGCTTGAGACTCCTCAGAACAGCAAACTCATGAGCTTAAACATTTTCGTATTCTAAATTTTTTTTTCAATTCCTGATTTAACTCCACAGATGAGCAACTGATTCACCCTGACAGTCTAAACCACTGGTCATGACTTTTGATTAGATTTTCAGAATATCCATAGAATAGACTTGTTCATAAATCACTGCCAACATTTATTAATCGAATCGGCAGTGTAGTTCATTAAGACAATTTAACACTTCCTATTAAATATCTATCAAGTTTCTCATTCACAGAATACTCGGCTAAATTTAGCATTTAAAATTTTCAATCTTGAAGTCAGTCAAAACACTGTAAAACAACACTTGAGATTAATGTAGTGATTGAAAAAACATCGGTGCAGAACAACATGCATCCATTTGATTTCTATGGTTCTCATCAACTGCATACAAACTAACATCCTTATTAAAGTAAGTTTGTGTACAATTTTGACATAATTTTGTCAATCAACAGGTGTATTGTATAAGCACCACAGTGAGATAGAACATCAGGATGATAAGGTATATATATATATGTATATTATAAGTTAATTCATGGATGGCAACTAGCGGTGGAACCCAGAATGCACATTTTGTCCTTCTTGGGACTTTTCAGCCAGCAGATGTACTTGCACGCCTCAGTGGCAGCATCATCGCTCACTGAGGAATTCAGGTACATCCGCATCCTCGCTGGATTCCACTACTAGTCACCATCCATCAATAAACTTCTAATTATATGTCAAGACATCGTTGAAGCATCCGAGCACAAGAAGCCGACATGTCAACCTGAGGTGGAGCACTTCGGTCCAATCAATTGACGGGAAAATCTAAAATTGAATCATACATATATATATACATATGTATATCTTGTTAGAGAGAAGTTTCTCGAAAATTAATTGACAATATGGTTTTTAGGGTGGTAAGAAAAAACTAGTAACAATTAGGTAGGTAGATAAGAAAAGGTCAAAATCTGATGCGCAAAAATGATAACGTAATACGGTGAGTAGAACTCAGAAGGTCAAGAAAATTATCACTCATGGAAGTCAAATGGAAAAAAAAGTTTCA